TTATTGATATTTCTCCTGGCAATCTTGATTCCAGCTCGTGCTTCATCCAGCCTGGCATTTCTTATGATGTGCCCTGCATATAAGTTAAATAAGCAGGTGACAATATACAGCCTTGATATACTCCTTTCCCAATTTGGAACCAGTCTGTTGTTCCATGTCCAGTTCTAACTGTTGCTTCTTTACCTGCATACAGATTTCTCAGGAGGCAAGTAAGGTGGTCTGGTATTTCCATCTCTTTAAGAATTTTCCACAGCTTGTTGTGATCCACACAGTCAAAGGCCCACAAGATAGCAGAGTAAAAGGATGTGTGCTTATCTTTTCCTGCAAGAACTCCAAAATTACAACTCACTTTCTCCTCAACCTCCCATGTTTATTCCCTCTCCTAGATCCAGACACACTTGACTCACCAACTCCAGAAGATGGTGGGAGTCAGAGGAGATCTCATTGATCATCTGGTCTCATCCAACTTTTTGACTCTATAAATGGGAAAGTAGAGTCTGCCCTGTTGGCTACTCTCAGCTGGTTAGTGGAGTATCGGAGACTGGGAGCTGGGTCTCTAGACGTCCAGGCCAGGAATCCTTCTGCAAGAGGCTACCAGAGATTTGCTATATTGTGAAGTTTGAGAGGCAGACAACTGATTGGAAGGGTCATGAGGTCAGGGGATTGGTCATAGAGTTTTGTTTGCACAGCAAGGACATTGCATGCATGTAGAGTGTATTTTTATTTTGGAAGCCTGGGGAATGAGGGAGATTATAGCAGGTGACAAGTTCCCCTCAAGCCCCTTCTGGCAGCATGAGTACAACTCATGTGCAGAGTCATTTTTGGCATCACTAGGAAGAGATGGAGAATCATTCAGTAAATTCAGTAAATTCCTTTCAAAATATCAAAAATTACTAATATCATCCAAAAATTACTAAGAAGCTCCAATACCTTGGTTACTTGATGTGAAGAGCCAAGTTATTAAAAAAGACCCTGATGCTGGGAAAGATTGAGGGCAGGAGGAGAAGGGGATGACAGAGGATGAGATGGTTGGATGGCATCACTGACTCAATGGACTTGAGTTTGGGCAGACTCCTGGATATAGTAGAAGACAGGGAACCCTGGCATGCTGCAGTCCACGGGGTCACAGAGTCAGACATGACTGAGCAACTGAACAACAACTAAGATCCTCATATGATAGCACTTGCATTTAATCATCCATTGGGTCAGTAGATTGCAATGGTTAATAACTAGGCTTTAGAACTTCCCTGGTGGTACAGTGAATAAGAATCGGCATGCCAGTGCCGAGTACATGGGTTTGTTCCATGGTCTGGGAAGATTTCACATGCTGCAGAGCAGCTAAGCCCGTGTGCCACAACTACTGAAGCCTGTGCTCCTAAAACCTGTGCCCTGCCACAAGAGAAGTCACAACAACGAGAAGCCCGTGCCCCACAGCAGAGAGTGAGCCCCCACTTGCAGCAACTAGAGAGAGCCTGTGCAACAATGAAGACCTAGTACAACCAAAAATAAATGAATGAATAAAAAAAGAATTAGGTTTTAGGGAATGTATATTGGTGCAGCTGCTATGGAAAACAGTATGGAGATTCCTCAAAAAATTAAAACTAGAGTTGCCGTATTATCCAGAAACTCCACTTCTGGGGATATAGTCAGAGAAGACTATAATTTGAAAAGATACATGCACCCTAGTGTTCATAGTAGCACTATTTACAATAGCCATGACATGAGACAACCTAAATGTCCATTGGCAATGAATGGAAAAGATGTGGTGCATACACACAGTGGAATACTACTCAACCCTAAAGAAGAATGAAATAATGCCATGTGCAGAAACACAGATGAACCTAGAGATTATCAAACTAAGTGGAGTCAGACGGAGAAAGACAAATAATCATATATCTCTTATGGACAGAATCTAAAATATGACACCGGGAATTCCCTGGTGAGAATTAGGTTAGGACTCCAAGTTTTCACTTCTGAGGGCGTGGGTCCAATCCCTGGTGGGGGAACTAAGATCCCACAAGCTGTGCAGCCTAAGTAATAAAAATAATAAATGACACAAATTTATCTATGAAACAGGAATAGACTTCACAGACATAGACAGCAAACTTGTGGTTGCCAAGCAGGCAGTAGGGAGTTTGGGGTTAGCAGATACAAACTATTATATGCTAAATGGATAAACAACAAGGTCCTACTGTATAGCAGAAGGGATTATATTCAATATCCTGTGATAAACCATATTGGAAAAGAATATGAGAAAGAATGTATATATGTATAACAATCATTTTGCTATATGGCAGAATTAACATGACAGTGTAAATCAACTATACTTCAATAAAATAATTTTTTTAAAAAGAGTAAGGTTTTAGAGTGCAACCGATCTGGGTTCAGGCCTAGGCTGTACCCCTCACTACTATTCCACTAGGCTTGCTGTACAAACTCAATGCATGTTAGCTACCATTGCTGTTGATGGAGAGAGGTACAGTGAGAAGTGGACATTGAGGATATGCTGACTCATACTCATTTGTGTTTAAAAATTACAACAGGATCTACTTGAATGACTGGTAACCTGTGACTGGAATTGTTTACTCAGACCACAGATAATGCTTTGTGTGCAAACTGGTTGAGTTGAGCCTGTTAGGGTAATCACTCTCTGGGGTCACTGGACCACAGTGCCAGTACCTCTGATGCAGTAGAAGAACGTGGATTTTGGAATTTTACAGTCCTGGGTTCACATCCCAGCTTTGCCATGTCCTACATACGTAACCTTTGATAAGTTGCTTAACTTCTCTGAGTCTCGTTTTCCTCATCTCTAAAATAAAGGACAATACCGACCTCACAAGGTCATTGGGAGGATCAAATGATACAATGTCCACAGCAACCTAGTGGACAATGGGTGTCAAATAAATGCTCATCTGTAGTCTCATAACTTGAGCAAAGCTTCATAATCCACATGAGTTTGAAAGCCATTTTTTAAACTGCAGAGGGCCTGGACATTAAGACCTTCATACCTGGAAGAACTGGAGGCCCCTTCTCTGAAAACAGGGAGAAGAATAAACTCAGCTCCACATTCAACAGTCCTCTCTGTGTTTTATGATTTCTTTTATTCTCTAGAGACAGCTTTAGCCTCTACCCCATATCTCTTACCTAATTTAACTCTTCTCTACTTGTTCTTCTCCCTTTCTTGATCCCTCTCCTTACTCCCAGCTGGTAAGCCCCACAGAAGCCCTGGCACTGGGAAGGCTATGAGCTGGTGCCACAGTCACTGGTGGTAGCCCACGCATTCCCGAGGGCCACCTGGGAGCAGCTGGACCCACACCAAACCACTGTGTGAAGAGTGGCCCTGACGTTGACAGCAGTGGTGGGGCAGGGCCCGCACGAGTCATCTTCCTGATGGCTGGGGCAGGAGCACCATCAGTCAGGACAGCCCCACCCTTCTTCCCTGGAATGCAAGGCTGGAGGCCGTGTGAAGGGCAGACTCTTCTACAAACCAGAGGCAGATCCGGGCAGCAGCTAGTGCAGTGGGCGGAACAGAGATCAGCTTTTCCCAGGAGGTGTGGTTGCTCACTGCCAGGGAGCCTGGAAGTCGCTTGTCTCCTGACCAGTCTCCCTCACACCTCTGCAGCTGGGGATGAATGAAAGGGTCTGTACAGTCTTAGAGACTTCTCACACTGGTGGCAGCACCCGTGTCAGACTCTCCTCCCCTCTGGGAAATGTACTTTGCCCAGGACTTCCCTGGTGGTCCATTGGTTAAGAATCTGCCTTCCAAGGCAGGGGATGTGGGTTCCATCCCTGGTCAGGGAACTAAGATCCCACAAACTGCGAGGCAGCTAAGGCCCTGTGCCAAAACTAAAGAGAGGCCTGAGTGCCACAACAAAGACCCAGTGCAGACAAAAAAAAAAAAGAATATCCCTTCCACTTCCTGTTTCTGGAGCTGCACAATGAGCTCCATCTCTTCCTACAAATCAGTATGAAGACAGTCCATCCTCGAAGAAATGTTCATCCCTGGCCAAATTTTGTTTTCACATTTTTTCAGAAGTTTGGGAAACCAGTACCCATGTTTCTAGTCCCTAGCTTTTCACTGACATCTCAAGAGCAGGCAGACACTCTTAGATATGCTTGTCAGAGGCAGAATTGGAGCAAAGAGCCAAAAGGACCATGTGACTGTGGAATGAAGAACAAAGAGCAGGAGGCTTAGCATTTCAGGGAAACAAGCCAAGAGTGGCAGCTGCTAGTATTTCCTATTTATTTATCTTTTTTAGACTAATTATCTGTTTCTTGTTCTCACATTCAGAAGATGTTTGCCTCGCACAATTTTAGAAACCCAGAAACAGTCCACCAAATGTATACCTCCAGTACAACTTGGGGGTTCATTAGATTAATTGATTAATAGTGGTTAATGTATGCTTTCAAATCCTTTTATTAAAAGGGCCACCTAGCCCGAGTACCATTATAATCAGGCCTNGGGTTCATTAGATTAATTGATTAATAGTGGTTAATGTATGCTTTCAAATCCTTTTATTAAAAGGGCCACCTAGCCCGAGTACCATTATAATCAGGCCTAATGAGGTCAGCGGTTTATAGAGAGGGCTTTAAAGCATATATAAAGCTCCTCCCAGATCAGAGGTACAGGATGAAGGTGAGAGAGGCGGGCAAGTATGCATGCTGGTGTTTAAAAGCTCCTCCACGGCACAAGAGCTGCACTGAAGGCGGTGGATTGAAGCCAGGAAGAAGGAAATTTGCTCATGAATTTTCTAACTGAAACCAACCTATGTTACAGGACCAAGGCCACCACTGTGTAAAGTCCTGACAGGTTGCTGCTGAGTTCAGAAGACCTTCTCAAACAGAGACGAGAGATTTTTCTCTGCAAAGTCCCAAACCAGGTTAGTCCTAGCTTTATTTTGTTTTTTAATTGGAGTTTAATTGCTTTGCAATGCTGTGTTAGTTTCTGCCGTACAATGAAGTGCGTCAGCGACAAGTATACACACACCCCCTCCCTACCAAGTCTTCCTCCCCAACTCCCCACGCCCCCCCATCCCACTCCTGTAGGTCACAGATGCCAGGGAGGGCCCTGTGCTATAGAGCAGGTTTCCACTAGCTACCTGAGTTACACAGGGCAGTGTGTACCTGTCAGTCCTAATCTCCCAGTACAGCCAGTATGGAGAGCAGTTTGGAGCCCTAGCCTTGTTCTATCTTGTAAAACACATGAGCTGCTTTTTGAATGAAACCAAGGATCGAGCCCATGGAGGAAGGATGGAGCACAGCAAACCTCTTCTGAGTCATGATCGCCAAGGTTCCTCTTTTTTTTTTTTTTAAGTTCTGCATCTTTAAAAAGAAAAGCGTTTATTTTGACAGATTTCAAACAAACAGCAAAGTTGGAAGATTTTTAACAATTGGAAGACCAACCAGTTCAGTTCAGTTGCTCAGTCATGTCCGACTCTTGGCGACCCCATGGACCACAGCACACCAGGCCTCCCTGTCCATCGCCAACTCCTGGAGTTTACTCAAACTCATGTCTGTTGAGTCAGTGATGCCATCAGAAGACCAAGCATATGCCTATAAATTTATATTTTACAATTAATGCCTTTCTATACTTGTCTTTTCACATACCTATTCATTTTTTCACTACTCTAGCCTTCAATCCATTCATCTTCTTTTAAAATGTATTTCAAAATAAATCACAGACATCATCACACTCCTATAAGTTCAGCTTGAAGATATTAGAGTTCAGTATGTGTTGTGCAGAAATCTTAAGTGTACATCTGCCGGTTATGACAAATGAACGTCCCTGTGAAAGCCAATATATACTCATTATAAAAGGTTCCTCTTATTAAAAGTGGTTTATTTTGATTTTCTAAGGAGACTAGTACAAGCATAGGAACAAAATTGTGGTGTGACCTTGTTTGTAGATGGATGGGAGTGTGTGTGTAGGTAACACATGTAAGTAGTTGTTCATAGACTCCTGTGATGATCAAGAGGGGTGGAACAGGAGGGTGGGAGGGAGGCTGAAGAGGGAGGGGATATATGTATACCTATGCAGATGGTGACTGCAGCCATGAAATTAAAAGATGCTTGCTCCTTGGAAGAAAAGTTATGAGCAAACTAGACAGCATATTAAAAAGCAGAGACATTACTTTGCCAACAAAGGTCCATCTAGTCAAGGCTATGGTTTTTCCAGTAGTCATGTATGGATATGAGAGTTGGATTATAAAGAAAGCTGAGCGCCAAAGAATTGGTGCTTTTGAACTGTGGTGTTGGAGAAGACTCTTGAGAGTCTCTTGGACTACATGGAGATCCAACCAGTCCATCCTAAAGGAAATCAGTCCTGAATATTCACTGGAAGGACTGATGCTGAAGCTGAAACTCCAATACTTTGGACACCTGATGCAAAGAACTGACTCATTTGAAAAGACCCTGATGCTGGGAAAGATTGGAGGTGGGAGGAGAAGGTGATGACTCAATGGACATGAGTTTGAGTAAGCTCAGGGAGTTGGTGATGGAGAGGCCTGGCGTGCTTCAGTCCACGGAGTCGCAAAGAGTCAGACATGACTGAGCGACTGAACTGAACTGACCTGATGACTGATTTGGGCTTCCTTGGTGCTCAGAGGTAAAGAACCTGCCTACCAAAGCAGGAGAAGTAGGTTAGATCCCTGGGTCAGGAAGATCCTTTGGAAGAAGAAATGGCAACCCGCTCTAGTATTCTTGCCTGGAAAATCCCACGGACAGAGGAGCCTGGTGGGGCTACAATTCCTGGGGCTGCAAGAGTTGGACATGTCTTAGTGAATAAACAGCAACAACATGGTTGATTCAGGTCACTTTATAGCAGAAACCAAAACAACATTGTAAAGCAATTATGACTCAATTTTAAAATAAATTTAAAAAGATGTTCATGGGTTCATGTCAGTATAAAAGCTGGTTAAAATGAGTTGGGAGTTGGTGCTTAGGATAGAGAGTGATCCAATGAACTGAGTCTATGAGAATAATATCTTGGAAACAAAAAAAAGGGCACTGAATTGAAAAGAAACTTTTTTTTAAGAAAATCGAAACTAGTTTCTTTAGGAAATTTTCAAGTTTTAAAATTAACCAGTTTCTCTTTTGAATCACCACAGGTGCTGGAGGATACAAGTCACCACCTACCATGCTATCTTTTGCCCTCTTTGGGGGCCTTTTTGTCCTCATTGGTAAGTCCTTGATTGACATTTATCACTGTTTGCAAGGTGTCCACAAAAACATCTAGCCCCATCCAGCCCAGTCATAAATCAGAAATGGCCGTGATTATATGTCATGGGGTTGGGGGTGGGCTCTCCTGACAGGCCCAGCCATGAATCAGCTGCTTATTTCTATAATTAAGAGGGTTTTCTTGCCAAGCAAGTGGAGGTGTTATCAGTGGGAGATTATGGAACAGTGCTTTGTTAGGCAAGACATATGAAGAGGAAACTCTCAATTCCGGACAGTAAATAAGAGTTATATGAGTAAATAGAAAAATTCTAGTCTGGGAGGAGTTTAGAAGAAAGAGTTCACACTCAGTCAGTATGATGAGACCAAAAAGGCATCTGGGAAGGTACATGACGGTGGAAGTGCTTCCCAGGCGGCACTAGTGGTAAGGAACCCGCCTGCCGATGCAGGAGATGGGAGAGATGCAGTTTCAGTCTCTGGGTCGGGGAGATCCTTTGGAGAACATGGCAATCCACCCCAGTAATCTTGCCTGGAGAATCCCATGGACAGAGGACCCTGGCAGGCTACAGTTCATAGGGTTGCAAAGAGTCAGATGTGACTGAAGCAACTTTGCACACTGCACACACACACCNTCCTTTTTTGTCTGTTTGTAGATGGGAGAGAGAAGATTATGCCTGTATTTGTTATTTGTTTTGATGAGTTTTGCTTTTTAAAAATCACATACTTGTGAAGAGTTAATCTTTAGAGTTGCTTTGCTTTCCTTTGAAGATAAATATTACCTAACTTATCTGCCTACCAATGTGGGAGACATGGGTTCGATCCCTGGGTTGGGAAGATCCCCTGGAAAAGGAAATGGCGGTCTGCTCCAGTACTCTTGCCGGGGAAATCCCATTGACAGAGGAGCCTGGTGGGCTACAGTCCATGGGATCACAAAAGAGCCAGGCATGATTTAGTGACTAAACATTTGCAAGGAAGAGTTCCACTGACTTTGTGCCTAATTCTAAGAAAGTCTCTAGAATTTATACTGTCTGGTTAATCAGAACTAGATCTATGGGAAAAGAGTAAAATCTACCTCTCTAGTTAAGAACACCATTCACAACACTAAGTGAAACATAGGTTTTTACAGCAAATGTTTTAACAAATATAATTTCTTACAAAAAAAAGTTGTGGTCTTAAGGCACAATTCAGCCATCATAAGAACTACTAGAAGAAACTTTTCAACTTATAGACAAGCTTCTTATCTCCTTCAGTAAATAGAAACTCACTTCATAATAACAAAATAAAAAATAAGAATAGATTTAACTTAAATTTTATGGTAAGTTAAATTTTATTTCCAAGTTTCTTAATTAGTCTTAGATAGAAACTCAACTTCGTAGTAAAATGATATCAAATTACTAAGTGAATGATACCCTTCTTTCTTTAAGTGAATGATACTCTTCTTTCTTATCTTCCTAAACAAAAGCCATTATGAATTCAGATGTTTACATTTCCAAAAGCATTTGTGTCAGAGGTGTTCTTAAAAATTTTCTCCAAGTTTTTAAAATTTTATTGGCAGTTTTCGTTCTGATGAAGATTGCAGCAAATGTTTTTGAGACCTATAAGAACTGATTGTCATAATACTTTGGACAGCGTTTAAAATTAAGGGTAGTATTCAACGTTTTTAAGGTTGAACTAGAGTGGGAAGGGGGAATCTTCTGTTCTGTTCTGTCTAGTGAGCCATTCTGGGGTTTGGAGAGGGGTTTGGGAGGATTAAGCCTATGGCTTTGCCATTGGTTTAGTAACACTCATGAGAGCAGCTTGAGCAGTGTTTCCTCGAAGGCTTCATGTGAATTACCATCCTGCCCCACAGGCACTTCCAGGGGCTCACACGCCTCCACTCACACCATGAGTCCTCGCCTGCACTTCCGCCTGTACCATGGCTGCTACGGCGACATCATGACCATGGACACCCCTGGTGTCCCCTGTGATAACACCAGGCTGGTTGCCTGCGGTGAGTGTGAGGCCATGCAAGCATCTGGCTAGCCTCCTTTCATCATTTTCAGATTCTTTCTTAGGAAGTAGCTTAATTCTGAGAAGTTCATTTTTATAGCAGTATTATCAAAATTAAAAACTAGAGGAAAACAGAATCCTGACCCATCTAACAAACTTCTTCTGTTTTCCCTTCATCCTTTCCAAACCTGATCCAGATGGCTTTATTTCTACATATTAAAATGATTGCTTTAGTAAAATGTCAAATTCTGGCTTTGTTTTTTGGTTTGTTGTTGTGTTTACTTCATGTTACAACATGAACGCTTGAGGCAAGGCTCTCTGTATGTCCTCTCTTGGTCTTCTGTTCCAAAGACTCCTTACGTTGTCTCAGCATTAGCATGTCAGAGTTTGAAGCAACTGCAAGGTCAATCTAATCCTACCTTCCCAATTTACAGATCAGACAACTGAGGCTTACCAAGGAGGAGGGACTTCCCAAGGTTCCGGGGCTAGGTAGTAGCAGAACCAGACTCAAACTTAGGTTGGCTGACTTCACGTCCAAGGCTTCCCCTCTTGCACCAAATGTGGCAGAAAACAGAAGAACAATAAAGAAAGTGAAAGTGGTATCCATCTGGGGCTATGGACCTTTGCGGCTTTATGCAGAGATCAAAAATGTCCTAAAACGGTTGTCCCAAGCCTGAGGGGCTACGGTCAGGAGCTGTGGCTAACTTATTAAACTGAAAAAGAGTCCTCTTATGAAGTGGAGAACACAGTTTATTTTCTATTGACGCAGGCATCCGTGGTTCTGAGATGTTTGCGGAGATGGATTTGAAGGCCTTACAGTCTTACCAAATTCTGATCAAAGAAATTGGACTGCGGCACTGCGTGGACCCTGCTCTCATTGCAGCCATCATCTCTAGAGAAAGTCATGGTGGAACCATCCTGCTGGATGGCTGGGACCACACAGGACTTAAATTTGGCCTGATGCAGGTACTCAGCCAGAAGCTTTCCATCAGCCCCACTCCATCCTTCCTGATAGATTATTTGCATTTATCCTAGGCTTTAAAACACTGCTACTTGCATGGTTTCTGCTGGTAATTCTGTAACATGTCAAGATATACCAGTTATTTGATACCTTTTTTAAAAAGTATCTTACGGGTTTTATAACTACAATTTGCAATGAATACTATGCAATGCACTTAAATTGAGAAAATCTTAAAAAAAGGGCACTATTACCAGTATCCACTTGAGGTTCATGAAATAGTAAATTTCATCCATGTAGATTAAAACATTGTAATGAAGTCTTACTTGAACCAAATTGTTCATTAGGCAATTTGGAGGAAGTGGACCCAAATTTTCAGAATATTTTCTTCCAGGCTTTTATTATTGTATTTATTTTAAAACTCATATTTAATTATTTTTTGGCTGTGTCACACAGCTTGTAGGATCTTTGTTCCCTGACCAGGGATTGAACCTGGGCCCCGGAAGCGAAGGCACCAAATCCCAACCACTGGACCACCAGGGAATTCCACCAGGCTTTATTTTGAATGGTCTGAGAAACCCAGACTTCCAGTCTCCCCACTTAGAAAAAAGATACTTTTGACTGCAAATATCTAGGCTCTGGGTGCTCATTATTTGTTTTAAAACAACTTTTTCCTTTATTTATTTGTTAATATTTGAGTGCTTAACTAAAACTATGCCACACCCAGTTCTCCCAAATCTCACTTTGTTTTTCAGACTCTTTCCCGTGAAAGAAAGGACATTTAGAATTGATTCTGTGGAAACATAAAAGGGGCAAGGCGGTGCCCATGACCTTGAACATAAGGAACAGAAAGCAGGACAGCAGAAACCTGTGTTGCTCCAATCAGATGCTGACATTCTTATCTGAATTTTCTAGCTTGATAAAAAAATTCATCGTCCTGTTGGTACCTGGGATGGCAAAGAACACCTTTTGCAGGCTGTTGGGATTCTCACAGACAGAATTAAGGCAACCCAGAAAAAATTCCCCGGCTGGAGTGCGGCTCAGCACCTCAAAGGTAGGCCGGATGTGCAGTGCTGTTTAGAGAGTGGTAAGAGCCCCGGAGGCCGGTGTGCCCTGGGCATTCCTGGGCCTGTGCCCGCCGGGGCAACTCTGGGCCTGGGAGGAGCCTGAACGCTCTCCGAAGCACTGAGCTCCCTGGAGCGGTCTTTTCTGCTTCCATTTCCTTCGCCCAGACGTTGGGGTTCCTTTTACATCTCTCCTTGGTTCTCTTTTCTTAAAAAGCGTTCGTTTATTTATGCTGCGCTGGGTCTTCGTTGCTGCATGCAGGATTTTCTCCGGTTGTGGCAACTGGAGGCTGCTCGCCAGCTGCGGTGCACAGGCTTCTCGCGGCGGAGGCGTGGTGGGCGGGCTCTCGGCATGCGGGCTTCGGAAGCTGCGGCACATGCGCTCAGTAGCTGTGGCTCGGGAGCTCCAGAGCACGGGCTCAGGAGTTGTGGTTCACAGGCTTAGTTGCTCTCATGGCATGTGGGATATTCCAGGACCAGGGATCAAACCCGTGTCCCCTGGCTTGGCAGGGGATTTTTAACCACTGGACCACCAGGGAAGTCTTCTCATTGGTCCTTGAGCCACTGAGTGATGCCCTGAGAGTTAGTGTGATTGTTTAAAAGAATATGTTTGCCTTTCTCTGATGGATTTTTGCCCCCCATGGTGCAAGAAACTGTTGCACACTTTCTGAACTGTTGGAATACATGTTCACCCCGTGAGCATCCTCAGTGACAGCAGGGCTCTAATTATCATGATGTGTCCAGGGAAAGATGCCTTCTAGGCTGATCACAGACCACCTCAAGTTCAGTGTCTCCCAGACTGAATTAACTCACTTTGCCTGCTTGCTTAGTCACACCTGACTCTTTTCAACCCCACGGACTGTAGCCCACCAGGCTCCTCTGTCCATGTGCTTTCCCAGGCAAGAATACTGGAGAGTGTTGCCATTTCCTTCTCCAAGGAATCTTCCCAACCCAGGGATCCCACATCTCTTGCATCTCCTGCATTGGGAGGTGGGTTTTTTTTTACCAGATGAGCCACGGGGAAGCGAATTAACTCACTAGCCTCCCATTATACATTTGCTTTTTCTTCTGTATTTTCTGTCTCTGTGGAAGGCACCATAATATATCCAGTCATCCTGGCCAGAACAACCAGATTGTTTTCTGAGGTTCCCTGGTTCCTTCTTCTTTCACATCCAACCATACCTCCTGTGGACCCATCATATGCACGTACCTCTCTCCTTCCACACTTTACAGCCTGATTTTTGAATAAACAGTTTCTATATTCTATTTCAATGTCCTAGGAGGCAGGGATCAGGACCAGGGGTCTTTTTCTCTAGACATCCAAGAAGAGCATGGTTATGTTAAACACATGAGTAACCGTTGAAGATTAACCTTCTAGGGTGTATAACACACACATGCACACTGCACGCATACACCTACAAAGAAATGAACATGTCTCAGGCATCACTGTGCAGCGTGCAAGTCAGCGTGGCACCCTTCCTGGTGCACAATAGTTGCTTAAAAAAATTTATTGAATGAATGAGTGAGTGAATAAATGAGTTATTGAATGACGGAGACAATGTTACAAGTATTCTCAGAGTGAAGATTGGTAAAGAAATGAGAAGCAAATCTGACTTTTGCAGCAAGAAAACAAAAGCCTCTAGAAAAAGAGAGACAGAAGGAAAGCAATCTGGAATTTTCTCAGTGACTCTTGAGGAAATAGATCGTTTTAGGAGGGGAAGAAGGGGGAAAGATCTGGGGCTGTGCTTTTGGAGATTTGCTCATAGCTTACTTCTGCTGAAAGTTAATTTTTCAACCTGAACCTCTGGTTTCATTTCAGGTGGTCTCTCAGCCTTCAAGTCAGGAACTGAAGCCATTGCCACCTCCGCAGACATACAGGCTGACTATGTCAATGATATTTTAGCCCGAGCTAAATTCTATAAGAAACACGGCTTCTAGACAAAGCTCCACGGCTAGGCCAGGCCGGCAGGTACTCATACGGCCCCTTTGAGGATTTGATAAGGTTGTGTTGTACCCAGTGCTGGCAAAGGAATGGTTACACTTAAGACAAAAAATCCATTTCCTACTCTTCTTCATGCAAATAAGCATAAAAAAAAAAAGAAAATCCCCCCAGTTCACATTATGGTTCCTGTGAGATATATATAGATATATGCATAATTACTGTGCAGTAAAAGTGAAAATCATAGTAAGTGATGTATTCTTACCATATTCTTAGGAATAAGTCTACCTACTCCAGCAGGGCCTCATTTTAGCCCACGATTTTTCTTTTCTTGACTACACCACACGGCATGTGGGATCTTAGTTCCATCAGGAGGGATCGAACCTGTGCCTCCTGCAGTAGAAGCACAGAGTCTTAACCACTGGACCACCAGGAAGTCCTAGCTCATGATTTCAATGCCCACCTACTCCTTGTCTTACCAGAATTACTAATAAGAAGAGAGCCTGACCTGAGCCTTGGACCTCCTCCCAGCATCTGCTCAAGCCCCTAGAGCTTTGCTTGTGAGGGGTGCCTGATTCATAAGCCAAGCCAGGAGACAGTGGAGAAACCGTCAGATTCCCAGGGTGGAATTCAAGCTCTCTGGGCACCTGAGAGCCAATCTCGGTGAAGCTCATCCTCCTCAAGGGACGTACACCGCATCCCTCAGGCCCACTCCTGCCTCCTATGTCTTCTTCCTCTTATTTGCTGAAGATCCAGGGACTGGCTTCTTTTCTTCCCTTTTTTGTCAGTAGTTGCTGCCACATGCTCTTTCAAGGGGTCAATTCTCCACAAAACGTGGCTGAAGATAAGCATATTGGGCCTGAATTTGTTATGGTTCTTGGGTGCAAGTAAAAGCCAATCCTTGAAATTTTAAACAATAAAAGGAAATTACTGAAAGACTATCAAAGGCTCACTGAGCCAATGAGAAGATCAAGGACAAGAAGAGAAACCGGGCAACTCTGGACTCTGGGTAGCAGGAACCAGCTGAGCATGCTTTGTATCACCCCACTGCATGAGTGAACTAGTGCGCTCACTGCATAAATGAACTCCAGCGCCTTTTTCTCCCATCCTTTCACCACTCTGTTTCACTTTCATCATCCAAGGAGAGAGACTCCGATGGACTATCTCAGGTCATACTCATACCTAGGGGCTGGCTGCTTTGCTTTTTGGTCTTGCTCAGACCACTACCATGGAGAAGAGACATTCCTCCTGAAGGAAACCTCAGGTAGAGTGTGGCTTTTACTTCCATACTCAGGAGAAAACACCAGTAACGTGTTGGACTGTTAAGTTCTCAAAGTCCCTGCCGATATGGTCCCTGCTGGGCCTTTAGCTTCCTTCAGAGATGTTTGATGAATGTTTCTAAGAATCACTTATTTTTCTGAGGAGGAATCAAAATCATACCCACCTGACTTCCCTGGTCCAGTGGATAAGAATCTGCCTGTCCATGTAGGGGACAGGGGCTCGATCCCTGGTCCGGGAAGATCCCACCCGCTCCAAGACCGCAGTGTCTGTGTGCTGCAACAGCTGAGCCCTTGTGCCTCACAGCCTGCGCTCCCCAGAAAGAGAAGTCACCGCAGGGAGGAGCCCTGGCACTGCAGCGAGGAGTAGCCCCCACTCTCGAGACTAGAGAAAGCCCTCCAGCAGCAACCAAGGCTCAACACAGCCAAAAAAATCACACCCACCTACATCTGAGCCCCCCTGGAGAAAGCCAGGTAAACCCTCTCTGCTCAGTGACCTCTGAACCCTGCCTGAAGATTTGACCCAGGCAGAACTGGGACCCCGTGTTTCACTAGGGCAGAGCCAACAGTGTGATAGCCCTGCAGTACACAGGCCAGCATCTTCTGTGATCAGATGAGGGCCATGCTGTATCAGCTGTTAAATACTTTGATTATTATCTCTGCATAGAGGCAATCCAGGACACTTTTAGACATTCACATTGCTCAAGAGTGGTTTCTTCTGTGGGGGAAACCACAAACATGTTCTCCGTTTAACTGCAAACTCCTTCAATGTCTCCACTAAAACAATAAAGTACACCCAGATGAGATCATTTCAAAATAATTTAAAAACAAGAAAAAATATGATGACTTATGACTGAGATACCAGATGTTGTAGAGTCCATATTTAAGGTGTCTTAGTTAGGTTACCATAGAAGTAGACCTTGACCCTGACCCTGACCCTGACCCTCAGGCGCAGGTGGTTTATTTGAGTGATGCAGGGAGTGCTGGTATGAAGTGGCTTGGGCATACAGGGAAGGGAAGACAACTCATAAAATGTATGTCATCAAGCCGGCTACCACAGTGGGCACTGGAGTTTGGTCCTCCAAGCAAACATCAAGGAATTGTACAAAACACACACTGCAGAATTATTAATATTACACTCTAGGGACAAGGAGCTGAAGTATTTATGCATCAACTTCTAAGAACCATTGACTGAGGTATTTGCCTGTTGAGGGGAGAGCAGTTTAATTCTTTGCTCTTCTGGTCTGCCGTGCAAGTAGGCGGTATAATTATCTGCACTTCCAGGTAGATGTTGATGTGCAGATCCTGGCAGTTGTAAATCAGTTAGAATCCTGAAATGTCTAGGGACATAGAAAGGCCCTTGCTTGCGTACGGGGCACTCTCCAGAAAACCTCTCTCTAGCCTGTGCTGTTGCTGCAGTTGTGTTCAACTCTTTGCTATCCTATGGACTGCAGCCCACCAGGCTCCTCTGTCTATGGATTCTCCAGGCAAGAATACTGGAGTGGGTTGCCATGCCCTCCTTCAGGGGAACTTCCCGACCCAGGGATTAAAGCAATGTCTCATTTCTCCTGCGTGTTCGCTTACCGGTCAGGGAACTAAGATCCTGACCATCCCCCCAACCCTGAAACAAACCTCACAAATGCCTGAAAGAGAGGTTGACTTTAGTCAAAGGAACACAAAGAAAGGCCTGGCCAATGAGGGAGACAAAACACAAAGAACAAAACACAGATTAAAGTGTGAAAGGAATTATGCCACGTGGACATTCCTGCTGCTTGGGTTCACTCAATACATTCCTCAGAAAAGCTATACTGTTTACTTTTAAGAAGATGAAAGGTTAAAACATGGCTGAAGCTTTAAAAATGTGAAGCGCAGAAAGGGATGGGGAGGTGTGGTTTCTGATTGTGCCTTTGAGGTTAAAGAGCCTGAATGCTTTACAACAGGGGTCCCCAACTTCCAGAATCTAATGCCTGGTGATCTGAAGTGGAGCTGATGTAGTAATAGAAATAAAGTGCCCAATAAATGTAATGCACTTGAATCATCCTGAAACCACATCCCTACCCCCAGTCCGTGGAAACATCGTCTTCCAGAAAACCGGTCCCTGGTGCCAAAAAGGTTAGGGACCACTGTTTTACACGCATCCGCAGGCTCTAGCATCCTGAGAAGGGCTGCACACCAGTAGCCACCGGAATCTGGGTGTGAATTGCTTCTCATTTCTGTTCCACTTGTTTATCTTTTTTGCTGGTTGCCTGGGGTTGAATTCCTGTTTGATTGACAAGCTCAACTTTAACAGCAGCGAAGAGTAGCAACACCACTCCAGTGCTTAGCTTTGTCAAATCCATTTTGAGTGTAATTATCACTGAAAGAAAAACAGCTTTTCTCATTTATAAAAGAATGAAATAACTTTCTGGAGGCTGTTCACTGTCATTTGAAACTAGCAAAACCATATGGAGCCATGACTGTGAGCATCCCGTCTTATCTGTTTAAATATCCCAAGTCAATGTTGTGAAAAGCAACAGGTTTGGCTTCCCCAATTCTCTATGTGGCTCTATTCCTAACCATGTCTTCTCCTATCCTACCTAATTCTCTTTCCCACTATATCCTTCACTCAGTCTCTCACACTCATGGTCCTTCCCTCTGCAGGATCTATGCTTCTCCACCTGTTCTCCAGGATGTCTGCCCCTTCTGAACTCCTAGGTCTACACAAACCTCTCCATTTCCTAAGGGTCTTCCTTGGGCTTGGCATCCCCTCCTGCTGCCTCTATACCCCAGCCTTCCATCACTACTTTGTGCCCTTTTCCCATACTGAATTCTAAAATTAAGACAAAGATATGTTACAAAGTGAACTCTCGGTCAAGATATTTCTATGATGTGCTACTTCCAACTGAAGGAACTGGAGCCAGAGAATCTGGATTAGCCTTTTCACAGGTAAAGAACAAAAATTCCTTATCACTTACAGCTTTGAGGAGGTTTTTTGGAGTCCTCTCTAAAGAGTTCCCTGCTCAGGTATCCTTTGAAATTTGTGTCCATGGATTGAAAATAAAAATGATTGATAAAAAATTTTGTTTCAATGTGTGTTCTTAGCCCTTATTAAAGTTATAGAAAGCATACTAATTAGGTTAAATTGGTTTTGCACACACATTTTTAGTTTCATTTTCTTGCAAAAATATAATTAACGGATCTTAGGATTGTCCTGGGTTCTGGACTGTTTTGACAAGAGTATCTTAGGGGAAGAAGATATGTCTTAAGTGCAATACAGTTCTGAAGGTATTGTTGTGGGGTTTATGAATGAACAAAACACAATTTTCCTCACAGTTGCTCAACATTGTGGTGCTTGCAAAGACTTTCCTATATGTGCAGTGCATGGGTTGTTTTAGTTTCTATTATCTATCTTTCTAGCATCTGCCTATGCTCTTATTTACAGAGCAGTGCTAAGAGATAGGGTCTATTACCATGTTGTCTCATATCCTCAGCACTCTTTGAAGACAGGTGAAGAGCATGAGGCTCAATGGATGGTTCGGGCCTTGGGGTCTTCTCAGGGGGATCTGGGGAGAGTGTCCACACTATGGAGATCTGTGGAGGCCTTACCTATCATCACCAGGGAAGACCTCTGAAAGGTCCTGAGGTCTAGCACCCCCAGCAAGAGCAGAGTAGGAGGGGGAAGTTGTGAGAGTCATGGGTGTGTGCAGAGCGTGGAAGATGCAATCCGAGGGGAGAGAAGGCTTCTGCTCAAAGAGCAGAGGGGTGAATGTCCACCCAAGAGTGTGTGCTTCAGCAGCAGGTTTGTATGCAAAGCGTACATTAGTACCCTTATCAGTAAAGGTGTTACTCACGGAATACTGGTCAATGATGGCAAAGCAATCTTATTCTCTAATGAATGTGAAAGGCGCTCAGTCATGCTCCACTCTATTCGACCCCAGACTGCAGCCCTCCAGGCTCCCCCGTCCATGGGATTGTCCAGGCAAGAATACTGGAGTGGGTTGCCATTTCCTCCTCCAGGCGGTCTTCCTGACTCAGGGGTTGAATCCATGTCTCCTGCATTAGCAGGCATATTCTTTATCACTGAGCCACCAGGGAAGCCCCCATAATTGACACATAACACTGTGTAAGTTTAAGATGTACAGCACAATGATGTGATTTACACATTTTATGAAATGATGATCACAATGAATTTAGTTCACGTCCATCATCTCATGAAGACACATTAAAAAGAAAAAAAATTTTAACTTGTGATGAGAACTATTAGGATCTACTCTCTTACAAACTTTCAAATACATCATACAGCATTGTTAACAAGTTATCACATGGTACATAACCTCCCAGGATTTATTTGCTTATAACTGGAAGTTTGGACCTTTGCCTACGGTAACCACAAATCTGATCTCTTTTCCTATAAGCTGTTTCTTTCTTTTTTGTAAGAGTCCCCATATTAGTGATATCATACACCATTAGTCTTTCTCTGTCTGACATTTCATTTAGCATAATGCTGTTAAGGTCCATTCCTGTTGTTGCAAACGACAGAATTTCCTTCTTTTTATGTCTGAATAATATGGGACTTCCCAGGTGGTGTAGTGGTAAAGAAGTGGCCTGCCAATGCAGGAGACATAAGAGACAATGGTTTAATCCCTGAGTCAAGAAGATCTTCTGGAGGAGGGCATGGCAACCCACTCCAGCATTCTTGCCTGGAGAATCCCATGGACAGAGGAGCCTGGAGGGCTATAGTCCAAAGGATCACAAAGAGTCAGACACAATTGCAGTGATTTAGCATGCCATGCTCATTATACAACCACATTTTGTTTATCCATTCAGCCATTGATGGACACTTAGGTTATTTCCATGTCTTGGCTATTGTAAATAAAGCTGCTATGAACATGGGGGTACAGAAGTGATCCCCAGAGACAAAGGGGGAGTCTAGCTGGGGAACAAGTTTGTGTATCTGAGTGTGCTCTGGTGGGGGCTGGAGGATGGTCCAAAAAGACTGTAGTCCAGGGGCACAAAGGGCTCTGGTGGGAAAGAGGGGGGACTAATGACAGAGAAGACCTTGGAGGCCAAGATAAGGAAGCCAGAGGGGATGAGGCGGAGTGAAGAGGGCAAGTGAAGTTTAGGAGGACACAGTGGCTAGGGCATTCAGGAGCAAAGTGGTGAGGCCAGCCGTGGGAGCAGGAAATGCCGGTGAGAAGGGAGGCAAAACAAAAGCCAGTGATGAGGTGGGAAAGTGTGTTGGGTCAGGACCCACTGGTGAGGACGGAGACAATGAGGGGAGCCTGGACAGGTGCAGTGAGGGGAAATGGGCCTGTGGAAGGCACTCGAGCAGAGGCTGGGAGACCTTGTAGGGTCCACTGAGAAGGTGGAGGCTGGTGTCAGGGAGGCTCAGAAAGAGGGCTGTGGACACTGAAGTGGGAACAGTGGAAGCAGCATCTTCTCCAAGCTCCTCAAACAGCAGAATGCCAGCTCTGGGAGATTCCGTATATGTACACATATGAAGACACCTCACAACCAGATAATGACACACGGTTGTTGACAGTGGCCCTTATCAGGGATATCCTTGGGAATGTGGAGGGCAGGGCACAAGCCTCAGACAGGGAGGAACAGGGGCAGGGTGTCCTGGTAGGGGTAGCGGCACCTGATGGTTACTCCCATCCTGTTTCCTGCACCCTGTTTCTCACCCCCATGGCTGGACCTCATGTTCTCTTCCCTAGAGATTCCCCCGACATGTCAGGCCAAGCCATCCTGAGGGCCTGGAATTGCACCAACCATGCTGGGAAAGGAATACACAAAGCAGGGAAGTGATGGATCCCCCTGCACAG